GACGTCATTTCTTGTGATAAATGACTTACCCCTTTATCCTTAGCCAACGAGCAATGGCAAGACCCGGCAGTGCAGAACATTTCCGACCGGGAGACCGTACGGAAGGAGAAGGAGCTCCACGGAAGGTTCTACAAGGTTCTACATGAGCCTTTCTTAGACACAGTAGCCTCCCTACACTGGCTACGCTTTGGTGACCTATTCGGGAAAACCGTGGGTTTTGTCTGTGCAATACAGGATCAGGTCATTAAGACCAACAAATATCGGAGATACATCTTAAAGGATGGCACCGATGACATCTGTCGAGTTTGTCGCCATCCCAGTGAGTCACTTAGGCATGTCATTTCCGGTTGCGCGGCGCTTTCTAACTCTGAGTTCTTGCATAGGCACAACCTAGTAGCCAGAATTCTTCACCAGGAGCTCGCTCTGAAATACGGTCTCGTTGAACGGAAATTGCCGTATTACAAGTACTTGTCGGAAGCCGTGCTCGAAAATGATCGCGCCAGGCTCTACTGGGACCGAACCATCATCACAGACATTCTTGCGAATAAGCCTGAGATTGTGCTGATTCAAACCATACCATAAGCAAACAAAATACCTGGACTTTGCCCACGAGGTGACCGACATGTGGGGTGGTCTGCCGACCGAAATTATTCCTGTAGTGGTCTCTGCAAACGGGCTGATCCCAGTCAGCCTCTCGGGTCATCTTTTATATATATTTCTCGTTTATATATATTTATCATTTCCTTTTATATATTTATTCAACCCAACCAGATGAGAATACACTACTATACCCCATAAATAATTTAGTTAAGAACCTCGCGAAAGCCGAAACAGAGAAGCAAACAAAATATCTGGACCTAGCTCACGAGGTGACCGACACCGTGGGGTGGTCTGTCGGCCGAAATTATTCCTGTAGTCGTCTCTGCGAATGGGCTAATCCCAGTCAGCCTCTCGGGTCATCTGAGGCGACTGGGACTCCGCGACGGACCACTCCGGTGTCAAATGCAGAAGACGGTGCTCCTCGATACCACCCGCATCATCCACTGTTTTCTTTCCCTTTTTTTTCTAATGCTCAGCCGTTTGGTCTGCCCTGCTGAGGGCTTCCATCTGGTTGGACCTTTACTTATGTATTTTTTGTATTCATTTTAGCATAATAAAGCATAAACACTCACGCCTGTCACCCAGAGGGGTAGGCAGAGACCACGGACTTCCATTTGACACGATCCTGACATACCTCTTTCGCCTCCTTTACATCCATATATCTACGCATACATGCTCGTCGGTTAAGGGTACTTTTAACGTGGCCCATTTTCAAAATATCGCCAATTTGGTCGATAAACTTTTTTCTAGGGCGTCCCTTCCCGACTCTGCCGTTCACATCTGCCATATAAATTTGTTTTGTCACTCTTTCCACATTCATTCTTTCTACATGACCAAACCACAGAAGCATTCATTTCTTAATCCTGGTCACAACATCATCTTGCATACCACATTTATCTCTTATCATGCAATTTCTCATCCTGTCATTCAGATTCAACCCTAGCATACTCCTTAAAGACCACATTTCTACAGCATTTATTCTACTTTCGTGCTTCTTCTGCCACACCCAGCTTTCACTACCATACATTAAAGTAGGGACTAACACAGCATTATGAATTACCATACGTGACTTTTTTGATACATTCTGGTTCTTCACAATAGAGTGTAGTGCCCCATTCACTCTATTCCCTGCATTTACTCGTCGTTCTATATCCTTATCGTATCTACCATCCCTGCTAAATACACATCCCAAATACACAAACTCATCCACTTGCTCAATTAACTCTCCTTCTATTCTTATTTCACATACCGTTTATTCATTTTATTTTATTGATATTTAAGTATATTTATTTATATTTTCATTTTAATTTATAATTATATATTAATACAAGCCAACCGGATGAGAAAACTATATAGATACCCCAAATAATAATTTCGTATTTTTCTTTTTTTTTCTTTGAATGTTATTATAATCATTTCTACAGCCCATTTTTATTGAGACAACTTAGCGATCGCAGCGTCTCACTTATTTTGTCCATATTTCTGGGACTCTTATTTTCTACAGCGATCGTTCTCCTGTTCTCTAACCTGTATGCTACGTTTCATCATCACACACACATACAGTCCTTAACAATCCACTCTGAACAGGCCTCCCCCAAGTACAAACACCCCTCCCCCCCGGGGGTCCCCCCCCCTTCATCAATTGATATAGTTTGATTGACATTTGACACCTCAAAAATGTTGATTGTTTTGACTCCGCCAAAATTTGAAATTACTTTAGTTTATATTCAAGTGCTTATACTAATGAACTATTAACAAAATGATATCATCGTTTAAGTAAAATGTTGTTGTAGCTTGATAATCGTGCCAGTAATCTAAGCATAGAATGGAGCAAGAAATAGATTTCGATGGAGAAAAAGTAGAAAAGTTTGATATAAAATTAAAATCTAAACCGAAAGATGGAGTTATATTGCAACTCCACCACACTGTTAGAGATTCACATGGTGAATATCGACGAATTCGTTTTTCAACTGCTGTATTTGACGATGCTCAGGAAAAACTTGCTTGTGCTGATAATGCAGGAAATTTATTTATACTTGATTTTTGTGATTTAAAATTTTGGAAATTAGCTAATCGCGGTATATGTACATCTCTACATTTTATACCAAACAAATTAGATGGTTTAGTTGTTGCTACAGCTGAGCAATTCAGCCTTAATTTTATAGATGTAGAAACTGGTAGTAAGTCACATACGTTAATTGGGCACACAAGCCATATAAAACATATTTCTTTTTCTAAAAGTAAGATGAATAATTTACTGACTGCTAGTCAAGCAGAAGCAATTTTATGGGAACTCAAAAATTACACAAAATATTTTACTCTAAATACATACTTAGGTGCTCAAATTCAACAAATAATGTTCACCCCTGCGGGTGATTACTTAGTTGCATGTTTCCAAAATAATACAGTTCAAATATGGAAACATGACACTATGAAGTCAGTTAAACAGATTATACCGAGTGAATTAAAGCACATGAAAAATATAGCCTTTACAATGAACGGACGTGCAATGGCTATGGCGGGGCTAGTACCCACTTTGATTTTATTCAGCATGGACACTTGGAAAGTTTTGAGGTCTATTGACTTGACAAAGTATAATATCAGAGGTGTTCAACAAGTGGCTTTTATCCCACAGTTGTTTGATGGAGGTTCTAATAAAATACTGGCAATGCTAAGTAGTGACTGCACTCTTCATTTACTGGATTTAGAAGCTCTTAAAATTATATATACAATATGCCCTGAGTCATCAAGTATTAAAAAAATTGTTGTTAGTCAAACCGGAAAATTCTTTCTGTGCATATTGCAGCTTGGAGAAGTTAACATTTACAACACCTCATTAGTTCTGGATATGGCAAAGAGTGCAATCTTAGGCCCTGAAACAAAAGAGGTATCTACTTCCTCCACTATTACATACAAGTGTATTCCTCAACAACATTGTCTAAATAAATTAGCAGTTGAACAGAAGATGCGAGCCTGTATGGATAGCGCAAGGTTGAGAAGAATCCTGATGCAGTATGGAGAATATCCTGATAAATTTCGTTCTATCATATGGAAGTCGCTGCTTAATACTCCTAGAAATAAAGTGGCATATTCAGCTTTAGTTGATAAGGGCATCCATCCAACTTACAAAAATATTGAGAAACAATTTACAATACACAGTTCTATCACACTTAAAAACTTGAAAAGATTACTCTCTTGTCTTGCACACTGGTGCCCTTTATTTGGAGTTATGAAATTTTTACCAGCTTTTGTCTTCCCTTTTGTTAAGGTATTACAAAAGGACCCCCTTCTGTTATTTGAATGTGTTGCTACAGTCTTAATGAATCACTGTCAATTGTGGTTTGAATATGCTCCATTCCCACCAATAAGTGTGCTGGCTATGATTGAGAATGTTCTAGCAGAACATGATCCGCAACTTCTTGACCATTACTGCCGATTTGGGGTGACCAGTCAATCATATGCTATGAAAATCTTAGAAACAGCGTTCAGTGAGGTGCTTACTTGTTCAGAATGGTTAATTCTTTGGGATCACATTCTTAGTAATGAGCCTGCGTTTATTTTAATGGCCGTTGTTTCTTATAATGTTGTCCAAAAAAATGCACTCAGAAAATTAAAGAGTCCTGACCGGCTTGAAAACTTTTTTCATTTACAGAATCCCATTGACAAAAAGACATTTCTTAAGAAGGCTTATTTATTATTAAATGAAACTAGTGATGACATCCATCCACGGAGATTTTTCAATAGCTTTGTTTCATTAGAGAAAGGTGATTGCTATCAACAGTTTACTGGATATCCAAAAGCTACAATATGCCTGAAATTAGTTGAAAATGAGAGAAAAAAGGTAACAAGTGCTAACAAATATAGTTTGAGGGAATTGACAACAAGAAGTCAAGAGAAAATTATAAATGAGAGGTTCAAAAATGACTCTGATTGTAATGACAGCGATAAAGATTGTAAAGAAAAACACTTCAAAAAATATAGACGAAAAAGTTGTATGCATTTGCAAAGCAAAGGTGATTATAAAAATAACATAAAAGAAGAGTTGATAGACAGTATTTTATTTCCGCCTGAACTACGAATGCATTGTAAAAGAAATGCGGAATCAAAATGTAGTAGACGACAAAAAGAAACTCCAAGATCTACAATGAAGAGATCTCCAGATAAGAAACGCATACTAGAGAAGGAAGTGGAAAAATTGGTAAAGAGAAATTCTGACATATCTGATTAACACTGCAGTATTGAATGTATAAATAGAATTATTATTCATAACCAGTAAAAAGGAAGATATTTGTATATATTAAAAATAATATAAAACACATAATATTTTGCAGTTTTTATTTATTTTAGTTTTTAAAACTTTAACAATGCGATCCTAAGTTGTATTTAATATTCTTGTAAAATTATTCCTTTTTAGCAGCCGGTCTAGGTATAGTAGATTTGACGTGACTGAACTTCTTTCTGGAAGCACTAAGGTTGGGGCTCGGTTCAAGACTCACTTTTGGAACGCGTACTGGCGTTACTATTTTCGGTTTAAACAAAGCTAGAAACAAAATGTTATAATCAATATATAATCATCTATAGAGAAAATGTTACAAATATGTGGTATCTCAGATCAATTCCGCAGTTGGTCTGCATAGTGGATTCTTTCCTACCCTGAAATAAATGAGGCCTTGTAACATTCTTACATTATACTATTGTGCATATTGTTTCCCCTGTATAGACGACTGCCCGATTGGTCTTGTAGCCGTAAGCGCAACTGCTAATCATGTGGTCTCTGGCTCGAATCGCGGGTTGGGCCATTTATTTATTTATTTGATTCACCAACAAATGTTACACTAATACATATGCTTAATTCTAAGACAGTGATATAAACTAGGTGCACATACAATAATAGGTAAACACCGCATGCTTAGTGCTCACAGCATTTCCTACAAGCCTTTACATAATAGCCAAAAATATACAATACACAATTAAAAAATTAAATGAATACAAAAAAATTTTGGCACTGCAAAGAAATATTAATAGTTTGATAAATTTTGTACCGAAAAACGTTAAAAGAGTCCTGGTGAATATCTACTACATTATTATAAGTATTTAGAAGTCTGCAGTCTGGGTATAGGGGAATTAGATCCTAGTACAGTTCTATGAAGGGGCTGCGAAAGAGGTGTAATGTACTTACGAGGATATCTATTTGGGATACGAAAATTAAATTTACTCAGTAATAAAGGACAATCTAACTTATTTCTAAATATTTTATATAAAAGTTGCAAATCCAGAATATCCGGCGTTTAGACAGTGAGACCATTTTAAATGTCTTTAATCTGTCAACATATGATGCACTTTTTTTTGATTTTCTTGTTGAAAAGGTAAGACGCCATAAAAATCTTTTTTGTATGCGCTCAAGCCGAAGGGTATGGGTAGAGTAATGCTAAGAAGGCTGAGAATTAAGTATCGGGTATTTAGGTTAAGAAACGCTCAATAGCAGCCTGAAATCAGAAAGTTCCCGTGCTTCGGAAAGCACAATTAGTTCGATCCTGCGCCTGATATTTCCCCGGTTGATATTCTTACACCGACTCTTCCGCTTTGACAATTTAAAACTATCGTAAACACAAATTAAAATTTTTACGATGACCTTTAAAAACACAAAATCATACCGTTTAATTTGCCACTTTTGTTTTCTTGGGATGTCGCAATTTTGGAAACGGCGTAAGTGTCTTTTTTTAAATTAAACATTTTTGGTGAGATTCGGCGAAGCTTTGACATCTTTCCGTCTTTCGAAGTAGGCTTATCAGTTATTAAATTGGAAGTGGATGCGCTCTCTATCCGCTTGAGCCTTGATTTAGAAAAGTCTTCTATGCCGCTTCCTAAGGCCGAAAGATTTGGACTTGATGCGAACTGCGCTTTCGATGTTTCAGCACCCTATAATACAATTATTTTCATATTTACATTTTGATAACCATGCAGTGGTAGCGTAAGAGAATAATACCCATATCATTCCATGGGTATCGAAAGATGAGCATAGGGTAACAGAAATATATGTGCAGCAGTCTTTTTCGGTTAATAGCTAAAAATTAAAAAAATCTCTGTTGGCACCCCCTGCCGTTTTTGCCGCCACTGTGGTAGCCGTGCCAAATAATCCCTCTATGAGGAAATCTATGGGGGAGGCGTATTTTCAACAGTTGACTGACCGCGATGACGTGCGGCTCACCTGGGGAATTGCAGGTTATTTAATTTAGGTTACCTTTTAAAAAGTAATAGCTCTTGTGCAAGACACTCGGTTGAAAATTATAGCGGTAACCAATTTCACAAAGAAACCGTGCGAGGAATAAAACTCCTACACTAGAAAAACCACTACACTAGGAAAGGGTCTAGTAGTAGTAAAGTGTAGTTTCCTAGTGTAATGGTGTTGGGAGTAGTGGTGCTGGGATTAGTGGTGACGGGATTAGTGGTGCTCTTCATACTAGGTAAGACGCATCATTTTATTTTATTGAGCGGATGTGTGCGAATTAATCTTGACAACTTCAATATAATGGATTTCCGCAAAGTAACACCTGATTCTATTAATTATAGAAAACTCCTGTTAAATCGCATAACAGTGGACTTATGATAAGCTATATTGAATGAATGAATGAATACATATTTGATGATATATTTCTGGAAAGTTTGACCGCTGTTCCAGTATCATACGTTCACTTTTAAAGTATTCATTTTTGGAACTATATGCAAAACGAGTTAAAAGTATCTTGAAGTCATAATCGCTGCGGTTGGTAAGTGAATTGGCGATCGCAAATCCTGACGTTTAGCAACTTCAACGCTGTTTCATTATGCGTAGGTACTTTATGTTTGGTATTCACATAGTCTCATAGTCATCGTCTTGCTACACTCACCGGACGAAATGGTGTGATCGATTGTCTTATGTAGGTACCCAGCCACTATTACACAGCAATTTCATTGATTCAAAACAACCTATTAAAAATTAACCGGTGAACATATGCCTCCTCCATAGATTGCCTTACATTGGGGATAATTGTCATGCATTGCAATTGTAGTTTTTTTTTAAATTATTTTGAGTTATAATCCGGAAGAGGCTGACGGCCATCCATCTCGGTTTACCTTTTCCGTATCTTTCGACACCCAAGGGATGTAATGGGGGTCAATGCAATAAGTTGTATTACAAGAAGAACAAACCTTTAGCACAGATATTTTAGAAACGTCCAAAACTAGTGAACACATTGAAGAATCATTTTTTCCATCTTCATTTATTTGTTTAACGATATTAGCTAATTTGTTTCGAAGGTCCTCTGCAGCTTTCTCAGCGGATATAAGATTTTCCAATATTTTACTTTCTGCGCCTTGAATGGGACTAAAATCATATATTTAATAAATCATTAAATTATCAATTTTAAAAACAGATTATATGAAAAGAAACCATAAACCGATTTTCTGTCGTATTGAAAAGGAAGAGGTTCTCAATTCGATGTTACGCGGTTTCCTCGTCAACTGTAAACCAATTTTAATGATTCTTTTTTTAAATAAAATAGGCTATACCTCAATAGATTAATTTTTTTTAACTAAGCGACAAATGAACTTGCAGTTCACCAGATGGTAATGGCTTATGCAGCCTAAGGACACCAACAACAAACTTAAAATCAAGAAGGCTACCGAAACGATGTCACCTCCGAGGACAAGATGGAATTCCTCCCAGCTTGTAATTGTACTCGGCTCTCTATAACCTTCAGACCAGAACACAAGTGCAGGAGATTATGCGGCAACAATAGGTATAGAAATAAGAGTGTTACCTATACCATACCTAAATTTCAAGACAGATCCTACTTTTAAGGATGGGAAAATTGACTTAAGCATTTAGACGACATTCGAACTGTTTACCTGATATTGCAGTGTTCACTCGATAAGGGCAAATCATTAAACGGTAATACTTAAATGTATAAACCGACTCCAAAAAACTAATCCTAAAGTTAAATAACGTAAAGTTACAGTGTATATATTATATATGTCTCACTTTTGATCACAGGCCCCCACTTATTTCTAAGAGGGCTTTAGGACAAGGAAATCTCCGCTGCGTTGCCTCAATGCATATTAGTGGACTTCACAAAATATCTTCGAAATAATTTTTGAATTCCTCAAACATGTGTTTCCTTAAGATGTTTTCCTACACCCCCAAGGACGTGGTGAAACGGCACTTAAAATTACAATTAACAATTTCATTGGTGCCGGCGGGGTTTGAACCCGGGTTACCCGCTATCACAATTCCCACATAAAATGATGTTAACATACTACACAATATACTTCATAAATATAAGCACACCTATACAATCTAGGACTATATCACCACTTACCACCAGATGGCATCGTAGTCAAGCACTGGCTGGCTTGCAATAATTTAAAAAATACCTTCACCTACACCTAGTCAGTTATATTATTCCCACAGGCATATCACAGTAGTGAAAAATCCTCCTATGGACGACACACACGGTCAGTTCAACTGATCAGTTCAAACTAAGAATGTTGATATTTTTTAAAATATCGGATTTTCGATACATCCATAAATAAACTTATTTAAAAAACTCCGATATTGATATATTTATAATTATAGATACTTTATAATAGATAGATAGACAGTTGGAATGATCAGTTGAACTGACCGTGTGTGGGGTCCATTACGCTAACCACACGGCGTTGTGTGCGTTTTATTTTTCTCAAAAATTGAATAATTAAAGTGGAAATGTAATTTCCAAAAGGGTTATGGTGCAATAGTTTGACGCTGTTCCAGTGCTTGTCGGCGGACTTGACATGAAATACATGTGAAATACAATGTTATTCCGATGACATGCGAGCTTCCTTACGATATTTTTCTTCACCATCGGGCAAGTAGTAAATCAGCATTTGAAATTACAATAAAGAGTGCGGTGAGATCCTTACCTTGAGCTACCGTGACTTTGAAATCTTAAAATATAAAAGTATTAAATATACTTTACCTTGACGTCTTATTACGCTGTCTAATGCTTTCGGGAGTCGACGACAACGTGTACGTACTCTGCCTCTGGCTCTGGCACATCAGCTAAAATATTAGTTATTACCGAATACAAAATATTATGGTGTAAATGGAAGAGGTCATTTTTTTAGTAAAATTTCCATATTATAAACTCATTGTACCTACTTTTAAAACCTGAATGTCAGTCATCTTTAACTTAATTTCATTTTTTTTTAGTTTCTGACCTGTTAGTCTAGTAATCGTAAGAGCGACTGATCGTGTATCTCGGGTTGGGTCAAAACTAGTCACGATGAGTTTTTCTGCCTCTGGAGCCTCAGAGTCAGAGTTCGTTGTCGGAAAACACGCAACATTGTTGGCCCCTGAGCATGATCTCATTGCGGTCGTGTCGGATTACCGTCCCATCGGACCAACGACTACACAGCCCGAATAGACGCCTCATGAAAGGCGAACACTTTCTGTCAACAAATCAGACAAATACGTCTTACTTAAGAAAACGATCGCGCGATCTACTTTAGTAGCGACCACTTCCCTGACCCGTGAACATCTTGCATGGGACTCGTGAATTTTCGACAAAATAAAATGCAACAGACGCGCAACATGGTTCCCTGTACAATAAAATAGTGCGTAAATAGTAGCCAAATGTGTAATTCCAAAAAAAAAATGGCATCACTTTTCATAGATAAGTGAATTTTAATTTCGAAACTCATTAATTAAAATTAAATCAGAGCTCAACCTACATTTGTCACAAGCAACTCGCGTTGATTTATTCGGACATCTTCGGATATTTTCGGACTATGCATCCCTTTCTTTTCAATGCAGTTCATTGTTGCTATACTTTTCTTTAATTACCGGCACGTGTAACTAGTGCTGTACCAGTTAAACTGTAATATTGGTACAAGTAAATTTATGTATGTTATCGTGAATGTTTTACAGACTTATGCTATAAGCGACATAGGTGTAAGCTGAATTTTTTTGGTGAATGTACCATATTTGAATTAATTGATTTAATAATTAAATCAAATTATTCAATATTTCTTAAAAATAATTCATAACAAAATTGATATAATTTTTAATAGACTGTCAAGAAGTGAACTTGACAGTTTAAATAACTATTGCTATTTCATTTTTAATAGTATTCTATTATTATTTCAATATTGTAAAGAAAGCTTCTTTTAATAAAAAATATTCTTTAAAACAAAAAATTATGGTTATTTTACTAAATACGACACCTACTTAAATAAAAATTCTTTTGTTTTTTTTTATTTTGTACTAATTTATAGTAGAAAATAATTCTGCTACTGATTAAGTAGACTTGGTACCAAATTTATTAGGTTTTTTTTTTTTTTTATTATAGAAGAGGGGGGCAAACGAGCATGTGGCTCACCTGATGTTAAGTGACTACCGCCGCCCATGATCAACCGCAACACCAGGGGGAATTGCAGGTGCGTTGCCGGCCCTTTAGAAAGGAGTAAGCTCTTTTCTTGAAGGTCCCCAGGTCGTATCGGTCCGGAAAAATCACCGGTGGTAAATTATTCCACAAAGAGGTTGTACGCGGAAGAAAACTCCTTTTGAAACGTACAGTGGTGGACCGCCAAGCATCCAGATGGTGTGGATGGTATCGGGACGTTTGCCGTGTAGTGCGTTCACGAAATTTGGCGGCTGGGATTAATCCGAACAATTCCTCAGAGCACTCCCCCGTGATAGATGCGATAAAATACGCAAAGAGATGCAACATCTCTTCGCAGCGCCAGTGAATCGAGCCGATCGGAAAGCACTCGGTCGTCGATGATTCGAGCCGCTCTGCGCTGGATGCGGTCAAGTGGAAGGAGCTGGTACTGGGGAGCCCCAGCCCAGAGATGGGAACAGTATTCCATGAGCGGCCGAACCTGCGCCTTGTAAAGTTGCAGGCGGTTTGCCGGCATGAAATACTGTCCCGCTCTGCTGAGCACGCCAAGCTTTTTAGAGGCCAATTTGGCCTTCCCTTCCAAGTGACCACGAAACTGCACGTCACTCGATATGTCGACGCCGAGGATTCCGATACTGGCTGAGGCAACAAGGGGAGTGCCTTGAAACTGAGGGGATACGACAAAGGGGTTCTTTTTAGCGGTTAACGCGTAAACTTGTGTCTTCTGGGGGTTAAACTGGACTAGATTTAGTCGCCCCCAATCCGAGACTCTGTCCAGCAGAGACTCGACTTCAGACACAAGTTTGTCCCGGCACTCAGAGACGTTTTCCCGAGAAATATTGGCTCGGCCGGTGTAAAGAGCATCACCAGTGCTGTCATCTGCATAGCAATGAATGCTACGGGTTTGCAACATATCATTGATATGCAGAAGAAACAGCGTTGGCGATAGCACGCAGCCCTGTGGAACACCAGCATTAATAAGCTTGCAATCGGAGCTTGCACCGTCTACAACGACCTTGATGCTCCGATCTGCAAGAAAACTGGTGATCCAATCGCACAATTTCTCGGGAAGCCCATAGGAAGGGAGCTTCGAAAGAAGCGCTTTGTGCCAAACCCGATCGAAGGCCTTCGCAATGTCCAAACTAACGGCCAATGCCTCCCCCCTTGGACTCTACTGCCTCCGCCCATCTGTGAGTTAGGTAGACCAGAAGATCACCAGCTGACCTACCACGGCGAAAACCGTATTGGCGGTCACTAATCAGCTGATGATCCTCAAGGTACCTCATGAGCTGGCAGTTTACAATGGACTCCATTGTTTTGGAGAACAAGGAAGTGATGGCGATAGGCCGGTAGTTGGACGGGTCTGAGCGGTCGCCTTTTTTAGGGATCGGGTGGACGAAAGCCGTCTTCCATGATTTTGGGACTACGCCTAGGGAGTAGGAGTACCGGAAAAGACGCGTTAAAACCGGTGCCAACTCTGGAGCACACGTCCTCAGCACAATTGGGGGGATTCCATCAGGCCCACTCGACTTATGGATGTCCAGGGAGAGGAGTGCTTTGCGAACCGAGCGCTGAGTGAACTGCACTTCCGGCATGGAGCACTCACACCGCGGGATGGTCGGCGGCGTACTCCCCCCGTCATCGAGAGTCGAGTTAGACGCAAAGAAAGAGCCTAGAAGATCGGCTTTCTCCTTTGCGGTGTGGGCCAGTGAGTCGTCCTCCCTGTGCAGAGATGGAAGAGATGGCTGACAGAAATTCCCCTGGACAGCCTTGGCGAGAGACCAGAATGCACGGGTTCCAGAAGGAAGACGAACTAGTCTCTCGCCAATTCTGCCTATGTGCTCTGACTTTGCCTTGGCAATAACTCTTTTGAAGGACCTAGAGGCGGGATTATACTTCTTTTTTAGAGCGCTGGTGTTTACATCCCTGGACGCTGATGCGTCAGCCCAGGCTCGGTAGCACTCCTGCTTATAGCATGATGCTATTTTACAGGAGCGACCAAACCATGGCTGAGATTTGCCTTCAATGGGCACCACAGAGGAAGGAATAAAAAGTTCCATACCCTGAAGTACCACATCAGCGACAGAATCCGCAACAACGTTGGGATCGTCCGGCGAGAAGCAAACCCGCCCCCAAGGGTAGGATGCAAAGAAAGACCGCATCCCATCCCAATCGGCTGGCCTATAGTGCCAAACACGGCGGCAGCCTGCAGAATGCAACCGCGATTTCAGCGTGAGTGGCACCACACTCCGGACAAGACAATGGTCCGAGGAGCCTAAAGGGGCGTCGACGGAAATCTGATATCCGTCCGGGTGAGAGGTCAGCAGAAGGTCCAACAGGGAAGGTGCATGATCCTCCACATCTGGAATCCGCGTAGGCGAAGTAACCAGTTGTGTCAGACCATATGCCAAGGCAAAATCATGAACAGATCTCCCTGCATGATCGGTTAAACGTGAACCGAGCCATTCGGCGTGATGGGCGTTAAAGTCGCCGAGGATCACGATCTCTGCGGAGGGGATCTGCTGTAGCAACGAATCTGCAGCCATTTGGACGTGGTCGAAGAGTCGGTCTGTTTCGGCATTACCGCTGTGGGACCTATAGAGGCACCCGTAGACGCGCGGATGGTCGTCGCTGTCTACGCGTAGCCAAAGGATGGACAGGTCCGAACCTTCAAGTCTGCCGAGGCGTCGAGAACAGATGTCCTCTCTGACGTAAACGCAAACTCCAGCCCGAGGCACAAAGGAGTGTTCCAGTTTGTACCCCGGGCAGGAGAGATACGAGACATCAGCCGGAGAGGACACCTGCGTCTCGGTCAGAAAGATTAAAGTTCCCAACACTATTTGCTTATTAGCAAGTGTCGCAACCTTGATTTTAACCAATTAGCGTGCATTTCAACCCGCCTTCCCCGTACCGCTTACCTCAGACTTTTGGCAGTCAGGTTTGGATGCAGAAATACACACATTATAGTTCATAAAAGATAGCTTGATCTCTGCGACAGCTGTCAGTAAAATCACGCCTATGAAGTCCTGAATTTCTTAGTAGTACAGACAGTATCTGTCAATGTCATACTTTATGGGCATGCACTAATTAGGTCGGCATGCCCATAAAGTATGACATTGACAGGTACTGTCTGTACTACTAAGAAATTCAGGACTTCATAGGCGTGATTTTACTGACAGCTGTCGCAGAGATCAAGCTATCTTTTATGAACTATAGGCGTCTATTCGGGCTGTGTAGTCGTTGCGTCGGACTATGAAAATGGTAAAATAGAAAGATGCAAATGTGCTTGCGCGTACACAGTCGTATACTTTAAACAACTTCCACGTTCGCAAAAAAACAATATTATATAATAGTTCATATAAGAATATATACCTAATGGTGGCCACACACAGTCAGTTCAACTGATCATTCCAACTGATCAGTTCAAACTAACACTGTTGATATTTTTTAAAATATCAGATTTTCGCTATATCCATAAATAAACTTATATGTATGTAAAACTGCGATATTAATATATTTATTATGATCGATATACCGAAAATCCACTATTTAAAAAAATATCAACAGTTTTAGTTTGAACTGATCAGATGAAATAATCCATAGAATACTATAATACATACAAAATAGAACGGGGGAGTGGGCGGAGCCCGTGTAGCCACTAAAATGTCACTAACACGTCAATTCACACGTTTAAACGTCAACACGAGATGTGTTTTGACGTTACAATCGTTTCCAAATTTCCCATGCAAATTATTTAGAAAATGCCAAATTGCACGCTATTTATAAATAAATATGTATTAAAATCTGTCTGTCGACACAGCGAATCGGGTTTGTAGTAGTGATAATACTACGTTATTGCTTGTATGTGTGCTCCCGGCGACGGCTATCGTCGTATAAAATAAGACTGACAGCCATTCTATTGTGTATTATAGTATTCTATGGAATGATCAGTTGAACTGACCGTGTGTGGCGACCACAATAGTTTAAATAAGACTCACGGGAAAGTGAAATGCTTAATCCAGTGCTGCACAGATAGTTAGTTTCCGTTGAGACTGGCCGCCTATAACTAAATTTCGACACAGAATAAATAATATGATTTCGGTCTGGAGGACATTGCACTAGTTTTAGATTCAATCATAAAAATTAAATATTACTTACTTTTTTATTATCCTGATCGTTGGTATCGGTAGAGGATTTATCAGAAATATGTTTCTGCAATAGACCAGGTGCTGGCAAATTTTCATCGGTAACTTCTTTACCTGTCGTCAGTGTGTCCAGGGAACGATATCGAGTTGGCGTACCCGATGGTAGTTGAAAGAGCCTTAAAAGTTTGTATATAACATTAAAATATATAAAATGAGTAATACTGAGTGTTGGTGATGAGATGACCATGAAAAAATGAATAACTATAAATATATGAATTTTTCATCACCCCATGTCGTGAATCGTATTGTATGAGGCGTCATTTGGGAAACACCAGATATGTACATATCATGGCAAAATCAAAGGTGTGACATATCAAATTAGAGTGTAAATTATTGCAAATCTACCCTACTTTAAAAGAGGCTCATCTCCAACAGTGCTTACGAGCTTATTGGATTTTATAAGTGGTAAAACCACGCTGCAGCTATATTATGGTTGTAGCACGAATATGTCGTCTCGACCGGGGAAGGACCGTGCTCTCACAAAATACCAGCGTAAAATAGCAGCTTAATACTGCGGCGTTTCGTATGGTGAGTTTAGAGATCCGGAGACCATTTTTTACTAGAAACAAGGCATTCCATCTTAGTTCTCAGTCGTGAAAACGCATCTGCGTTTTAATTCTTAATCGAGGATAAATGTAGATGTGTATGGGCCACAGCATCCGCTTACCATCAGGTGGACTGTGTGCTCGTTCGACGCCCTCATTCTATAAAAAATCTGTAGATATACACAAATAATATAAGAACAATAAATATTGGGTTGATATCACCCTCTAACCAATTTAACTGCCAAATAGCAGTTTGTGTATTACTGTGTTCTAGTTTGAAGGGTATACAGAGCCAGTATAATTTCAGGAATTTCATTTTACCTTTTTTATTAAATACAAAGACACGAATACCAGAAAACCTTTTCTGGTCTTACATAGGTACACTCCTAGCCTTAGTCACTTTTTAGTTTACAATGGGTATGTTCCGAAATACAACACAGTACACCGTCGAATGCGAATGACGTCATTAATTGACGTCGTATTCCACCATATTCAATACAACGAATCACGAATATGGCGTCGATTTATGACGTCATTCGCATTCGACAGTGTAATGTGTTGTATTTCGGAACATACCCATTATAATTCATTATTGGGTCATGAGGCATTCTATCTTAGTCTTGAGAGATGACAAAGCACCTGTAACCTTTGTTTGAAGTTGGTTGCAAGTGTCTACGGGCTGCAATGGCTATTTCCCCATGAGGTGAACTGTAAATTCCTTTGTCACTTCATTTTTATAAAAATAAATATGAAATCGCGTTTTAAGTCCACTTTTAGTATTTTACTTACTGCTTTTCTGGAGTTTTCAGTTCGGTCATGCTTGCTGATTTATTTGCCAGCGATTCCCGTTCCTTTGGCTTTTCCAAGTCTGACTCATTATTCTCCTTAATGCAACGCACAATATCCAGCAATTCCTTTGTTAAGCGTTCGCGATATGCTTTAGGTAGAGACCCAAGAACGGAACTGCCATACTCCTATAACGATTTTTATAAAAAAAAAAAGATTTACAACTATAACTTCGAGTTCCAAAGTCATTTTAAACAAAGTGTGTTTTAAATGAAAATAGTTACAAACTTCTTTTTAACGGTACTTTGTCATGCTGTTAACACATATTATATGACGGTTAAGTAATCAATTTATCACCATTCATTATCATCATTATAGCTCTTACAGGTACACTGCTGAAAGTAGGCAACAACATAGGCCTCCCCCAAGGAACGCCACAAAGCACGGTCCTGAGCACAGAAATCTGAATAATAAAGACTTCTGTGGTCCTGAGCCACTGCATCCGGCGACTTCCTGCATATCTTAACAGGTCGTCACTCCATCTAGTGGAGAGTCGTCCTATACTTCGCTTATCGGTGCGGCGCGACGTTGCCACTCGAGAAACTTTTGTTGTGGTGTGTGTAACTAGACTTACAGTACCTTGTCAAGTTGTTTTCCTCCCTTAGTTCCTGACACTTGCCAAAAACCACTATTTTGTTGCTGACTGTTTGCCGGGCAGGAGCAAGAAACATTATTGCTTTCCAGGACTACGTGGAGACCCGATGCCTGAAATAGGATTTCTTTTTTTTTTTGGTAAACATCACAACGTGTCTTTGGGTTTAAATAAGAAGTAGTAAAATTAATTTTTTTTACAAAGGACTTCGATATAAATAAAATGAGAACATCATCAATGTGTTCGAAGTCAATTAAATACGCATTATTAAGGATAACTCAAAAACTAGTGGTCGAATCTTGATCAAATTTATATGGTTATAAATAAAATATATTTAAAAAATGGTTAAAATCGGTTCACCTACAAAAAAGTTCTGAGGTAACACATAAAAAAATACAGTCGAATTGAATACCTCCTGCTTTTTTGAAGTCGGTTAAAATATTTTTTTCAAACTTACACACTTAAAATACGTACAAAATTAAACGCAATCATAAACTATTCGGAACGTCAACAATTGCTGTTCGTTGTTAACATAGAATACTATAATTCACAATAGAATGGCTGTCAACCTTATTTTGTACGACGTTAGACGTCGCTGGGAGCACACATACAAGCGACAACGTCGTATTATCACTACTACGAACCCGATACACTGTGTTGACAAACAGATTTTAATACATATTTATTTGTAAATAGCATGCAATTTGGCATTTTTTAAATAATTTGCATGGGAAACTTGGAAACGATTGTAACGTCAAAACACATCTCGTGTTGACATTTATACGTGTGAATCGACGTGTTATGACACTTTAGTAGCTACACGGGCTCCGCCCACTTCCCCGTTCTATTATTATGTATATATTATAGTATTCTATGGTTGTTAAAAACAAATACTATAAGAACAATAAACATTGGGTTGATATCACCCTCTAAACAATTTAGCTGCCAAGTAGCAGTTTGTGCATTACTGTGTTCTAGTTTGAAGGGTGTACAGAGCCAGTATAATTTCAGGCATTTCATTTTACCACGTTTTTTTAAGTAGTTTTCATGTACCTACGTCTGTTCACGTCGAAGGAACATAGCTAAAAATCGGATTTAAAAAAAAACGAAAAGAAGAAGCTATTTGATATTTCTTAGTCCGTTTTGAAAACGTGGTACGTTAAAAAAATTATCGATTGACTTGTTATAGAAGGCACACACGGTCAGATCAACCGATCATTCCAATTGATCAGTTCAAACTAAAACTGCTGATATTTTTTAAAATATTTTATTTTCGATATATCGATAGTTATAAATATATCAATATCGGAGTTTTATGTATAAGTTTATTTATCGATATATCGCAAATCCAATATTTAAAAAAATATCAACAGTTTTAGTTTGAACTGATCAGTAGGAATAATCAGTTGAACTGACCGTGTGTGGCGACCATTAGTCTACAGGGTGACAATGTAAACGTGGGCTTCTTTGTTTGTAGTTGGTTAATAATGTTCATGGGCTGCATAAGCGGACTGTTTCTAAGCTAAGTTTGTGACGTTCGTATTTAAAAATGTTCTTGCGTAGGCCCAATGAAGACCTCTGAGTTTGATGTAGATCCTTATTAAATCGATCAAATTGGGTATCAAAAACATTCACAGAAAAGTTAAGTAGGTATCTTGCGAATAATAATTTAAGTTCTAAATTTGGCTAAATAGAATTCAAGCCCTAGCTTTATTTTGCCTCCGTTGGTTGTTACGGTGACCCCACAGGTACGGATATCACACCACACCGACTGTCGTCTGTTGAACACAAACCTTTTTATTTTTTAATAATTTTTGATTTTGATGATTCTTTTTTATTTGAAAGCTGGTGCTCCTCATGTGGTCCCATATAAATTTGATCAAGATCTAGCCAGTAGTTTTTGATTTATCCTTATGCGTGTTTAATTGACTTGGACTACATTGATGACGTTCTCATTTTATTCTATTTTGATTTCGAAGTCGGTTTAACTTTTTTCAAGTATAATTTTTAAATTTTTCAATTAGCATTAACGATTGTATATAGTAAATTTGGTTACCACTGTCACTGCGGACTGGCCACGTAAAGCAGTCAAGGGTGTAAAACGTCTGGTACTGCGATCACCAGTGCTCTTACCATGACGATAAAGCGATAAAGAAAAATCCTCCCTATGATTGGAAGAGGCCTATTTGGACTTTTACCGGTTGATAATCGACAAGGAAAAACAAACTTTACGCAACACACATTTAAAAAAAAACTAACAAATTATCTTGTAAGCAAAGTAGGTCTCTTATTTTCAACCGACGTCAAAACAAGGACTTTTTCTTGGTGAACCGATATTGATGATTCTTTTTTTATGTGAACGCTGGTTCTTCCTTAATAATGCGTATTTAATTGACTTCGAATACATTGATGATGTTTTAATTTCATTTCACGTGTATAAAAGAGATGCAGAGCAGGGTAAGTCCGCCAGGCGTTCCCCAATGCGTGTTGGCAAAATATACAGTAAACATGTGAAATGCTTGTGTCGACTTGACAAAATATATAGTAAACTTGTGAAATGGACTGAGTATCTTCAAAGATAATCATTACCTGACAATTAATGACGACAGTCCTAACGCCACCCTCTTGACTTACGTTGCCGTCACTTGTCTCTAGAGATTTAATGGAAAAGCCCAGACATTGTAGCAGCGCGCAAAGCTCTACCACGTCAGTATATGGATCCTGGATAAGATTTTTTAAAATAGTCGTTACAAGGCGTTAGTTATCTATGTATATCAAACACATGCATTTTATAGCATCTTCCAATAGTGAATATATGTACTCTAAATAACACTTCTAGAATTTATTAATACTTGGGTATTACACAGAAATCCAGGCACGAACAACGAATGTTAAGTATAGATGGAATACAGTAATAATTTAAATATTTTAACTACGTGTAGATAGTTTTCTGTATATAAAGAATAAAAAACTCTAATGAAATGAAATACAATCAAACTCATTAAAAATATAAATAAAACTAAATTCATACCATTTCCGTCATTATGATAGTATTTAACTCTTTGTTCATAATTTACTTCGTTAATATTGCCACTTATTGTTACTATTCTTACATTTAGTGATATTTATTTGAAAACACAACAGAATTTCTCTTGAAATCGATAAATCATTTAACATTGTTGACATACCTTCTTTTTAAATAATAAAAATTAGTAATGCTTTGGTATCGTGTACCCACATCTAAAATTAATAAGATTATGATCGATCCCTTGAATATATACCTATGTTACTGACTCAACAAAGAATATTTGGTTCAAATCGTGTGCATAAACGTAATTAGGAATAATAGGTATCTTTTTATACTAATAAGCATAGAAGTACCCGATTGACCGAGCTTTGCTCGGGATTTTTCGCTCGGTTTTTTTAATTCGTGTGTTTTGGAAATTATATTTAGATACAAATTACATAATGATGAAATACGAATAATATTTTTTGATCTTAGCGACATAATAGAAAAAACTGAAATGGTTATTTGAGTAAAAAATCATGAGTGCAATTAGTTTAATCTAAATTTTCGTGTTTTTAAAAAATACTAAAAAAAAAGGGCTTGAAAAAATAGATTTTCTCAAAAAAAAAGGAACCTGAAAAAAAAAATTAAAAAAAGTCGGTCGGTCTGGGCTCGAACCATGATATTACGATTTTGTGAACGCCCAATATACCAATTAAGCTATTTGTAATCATTAACAAATTGTCAAAATTTACCTTCTTATTCTAACGATATTGTAGCAGTTTTTTATTGCCTAAAACACGGACAAAAATACATTTTCTAAAAATAAATCCTAGCTAGATCGATTTATTGCCCCCGAAACTCCCTGCACACAAAATTTTATGAAAATCGTTGGAGTATATATACAGGATGGTCCAAACAGTGAGGTTATAAATTTTTTTTTTTGATTCCTCACACCTAGGGGTATCCGAAAATACCCTATGTATGTTCCGCGATTTTTTGTAGTTTTCGAGTTATGATTTTTTTTTACCCTTTTTTTTGAAAATATTCACCCTAAACAGCTTAACATTAAAAAAAAATGTAATTGTGAAATTTTTTCCAAGTTTTTTTTTGTAGTATGATCCTTATGAGTTGCCCTATTATGTATAAAATAATTAGCTTCCTAACATTCACCGAAGATACAATAATTTTAAACGAAACTTAAAAATTTTCTGTCAGGAGAGTGGGGCTTGAATTTTCAACATTAAATGAAAAATAGTAATAAATGATTTCATACTTTCTAATTAATTTTAAAAACTTTGCAGTACCTTAATCTTTCATAATAACATTAAAAAAATGACACTTAATAGGCCAGTTTTTCTGTTACAGACTTCTGAAGTTACTCAGGAAGGAAACTACCTAAATAGTTAATTTGATTTAAAAAATCTTTTTATCATTTCTAGGGCTAAACTAAGGTAGTAAATGCTTCAGGTTAGCAAAGAAAACTACTTATTGTTAAAACGTGACATTTATTAAGATATTATTTTACTACAAACTACATGTTTTTTTTTATTTCACTGAAACTAAATGATCTCTTATTTGATTACCTTCGCTTTGTTTCCCGGATTCTTGATTTGCCTTATGATTGACCTGTGCTTGTTTTATGGACCTTGAGTTGCTTAGTGATTTGGATTACTTTTAGCAATGAGTTATTCTCTCAGTCAATACGCAGAGATGCACTATTTGTACGGCGTTGCCCAAGGAAACAGCGCATTAGCGGCACGGTTTTATCGAGAGCAACTAGAGCGGCGAGGAGAAGTGTTAGAGCATTACCCGGGCTACAGGGTTTTTAATAAGACCCACGAAACCCTGATGGCTGGACGCGTTCCTGGGCGTAATCAACGTCGCGAGGGACTACCCAGAGTGGATCCAGAAAGAAGAGATGTAATCATTGAAGAAGTAGAAAGAGACCCTTCTACTAGTTCACGAGCGATTACGAGAAGGACTGGAATCCCAAGGACTTCAGTTTTAAGAATACTGAAATCAGGTGAGTGCATTTTATTATTTTGTAGACCTCTTCATTCAAAATCCCAACACATTGCTGCACTGCCATTTCAAATCACACTCATTTAATTTACTGTGAATTGTCGATGTCTAATGTGTTGTGTGTGCGTGTAAAAGAGAGAGATGTAGAGACCCTTAAACAAGCGCTCGTAATTCAAAAATAGGCGCTAGGACGCCACTTTAGCGAATCCCAACTTTTAGTTTCACGTTCACGTGCTCTATTGGTACGTACCTCTAGTATTGTGTACAATGACAACCTACAATAAAAATACTAATCTTTTTTTCCAGAGGGATATCACGCGTTTCATATTCAGCGTGTTCAACAACTTAACGACGCAGACTATCCAAGGCGTGTTGCTTTCTGCCAAATAATGCTGGAAAGATCTGCGGAAGACCCGGATTTTTTTAACAAGATACTCTGGACGGATGAATCCCGGTTTGAAAGGACTGGCGTCTTTAACATTCACAATCATCATAGCTGGGCCATTGAAAACCCAAAAAAAGCAAGGCAGTCAAATTTTCAGAATAGATTTAGTATCAACATATCAGGAGTCATAAATGGAGAAATGGTTGGGCCCTTTGAATTGTCGTCTAGGTTGAACGGGTCCCAGTACCTGAATTTTCTACAAAATAATTTAAATGGTTTATTGTTTGAAGTTAATTTACAAACGAGGAGGGATATGATATTTCAAAATGACGGTGCTCCTTGCCATTTTGAAAGACAAGTGAGGGAGCACCTCAACAGAACTTTCCCAGGAAGGTGGATTGGGCGTGCAGGGCCAATCGAATGGCCTGCACGCTCACCAGATTTAAACCCTATAGATTTTTTTTGTTTGGGGATTCTACAAAGCGATGGTGTATGCTAGAAAAATTAATTCGGAAAATGAATTAACGGAAAAATTGAGACAGTGCGCAGAAAAAATCAAAGAAAATACGAATGCTTTTCGAAGACTAAAAGCAAATTTTTTAAGACGATGTAGACTGTGTATCGAAGTTAATGGCCGCCATTTCGAAAATTTACTTTAGATAAATTTATCTTAAATTATTTACTACTTTTATTATGAATCTTGAAATCATTTGTCCAGAACGTAGTAAAATGATACCTTGTTGTCTATAAATTTTAAACAATAAGTAAAGACACTTGATGTTATTTTTCTAACCTGAAGCATTTACTATCTTAGTTTAGCCCTAGAAATGATAAAAAGATTTTTTAAATCAAATTAACTATTCAGATTGTTTCCTGCCTGAGTGACTTCAGAAGTCTGTAACAGAAAATCTGGCCTATTAAGTGTCATTTTTTTAATGTTATTATGAAAGATTAAGGTACTGCCAAATTTTTAAATTAATTAGAAAGTATGAAATCATTTATTACTATTTTTCATTTAATGTTGAAAATTCAAGCCCCACTCTCCTGACAGAAAATTTTTAAGTTTATTTAAAATTATTGTATCTTCGGTGAATGTTAGGAAGCTAATTATTTTATGCATAATAGGGCAACTCATAAGAATCATGCTACAAACAAAAAAACTTGGAAAAAATTTCACAATTACATTTTTTTAATGTTAAGCTGTTTAGGGTGAATATTTTCAAAAAAAGGGTAAAAAAAAATCATAACTCGAAAACTACAAAAAATCGCGTAACATACATAGGGTATTTTTGGATACCCCCTAGGTGTGAGGAATCAAAAAAAAAATTTATAACCTCACTGTTTGGACCACCCTGTGTATATACAAGAATTGCTCGTTTAAAGGTATAGGATAAATAATGGTACCTATAAGTACTATCTTGAAATAAACAATTTTTTTTTTGTCCATATAGTGGGGAAACGGTATTAAAAAAAACCTCACGTTTTCTCGCAACGTTTCACGGCCGGGGCTGTATGATTATACTATCATTTAACCTAGAACTTATGTAAAATATAAAATAAAAGAATATGTCGTAAAGAAGTTTTACTTAGTACGTGTGAATACAATTACGCAATTTTTTTATCTCTGCAAGACGTGAATTGCTAGCTGTGGTAAAGTCGTTGCATCATTTTACCAAATATCTTCTGGGGCGAAAATTTCACTTACAAACTGACCGTGCTGCATTAAAATGGTTATTGCAGTTCAAAAATCCAGAATTACAAGTTGCGAGGTGGATTGAACAACTGCAGGAATACGACTTTGTGATTGAATATCGCAGCGGGAATCTCATGGCAACGCAGATGCGTTGTCAAGAAGACCTTGTCCTGAAGATTGCAAGCATTGTACTAGGCAAGAGGGTAAGGAACTGGTATCTGTGAAGATGCACAGGACAGACCACCTCAACAACGAATGGAAGGACAGCTTTCAACATGCACAGCAGGAAGATCCGGACATCAAGCTGATTCTGAAATGGATGAAGGCCAGTGCTCCCAAGCCCAAGTGGAGTGACGTCTCAGCGATGAGTTCGACCACTAAAAGCTATTGGGCCCAATGGGACAGCTTGCTGCTTCAGGATGGAGTTCTGTGCCGTAAATGGGAAAATGGTCAGGGAGACAGCTGTCTCTTTTTGCAATTTGCAAATGGTTCTCCCTAAAGCTAAAGTATCGGATGTTCTACAGCTGTACCATAATGTATGTTCAGGAGGCCATCTGGGAGTTAAACGAACTCTACTGAAAATCCGAGAACGGTTTTACTGGGTCCACTGTCGAAACGATGTCGAGGACTGGTGTCACAAATGTACAAGTTGTGTGGCTATAAAGGGACCTCAGGCTCGTAGTAGAGGTGCATTGCAGTTGTACAATATTGGTGCACCATGGGAGAGAATAGCCATTGACGTGGCGGGGCCGTTTTCGGAAAGTGGATGGATTACTTCACTAAGTGGCCAGAAGTCTTCGCTATTCCAAATCAAGAAGCTTCAACAGTTGCAGATAAACTAGTTCATTAAGTCTTCTGTCGTTTTGGAGTACCTTTAGAGATTCACAGCGATCAAGGAAGGAATTTTGAGTCTCAAATATTCCAGGAAACTTGCCGAGTCATGAGTACTCATGAAACGAG